ATTTGGCTGGAATATCCAAAAGGATTTCCTGATAGATTGGCTGTAGCATTTGATGGAAAGAAAGAAGGTGGAGAAGACTGAAGGAAGAGCACATCTGGAACAAAGTTAGGGTTCAAGATGTTCAGTAGAAAACCAAGTAGAGCCGAGCTGGAGATGTACATTTGAGGATCATACCTGTAGATGGTACTTGAAAGGAGGGGAGGAATTGAGATCACCCAGGGAGGGTGTGCCAGAGACGTGCTTTGAGGATCAAAAACCGGAGCACTCTAACATTTCGAGGGAAAGATATAGTTCCAACCGAGGAAAGAGAGAAGCAGGTGAGGTAGGAAGGAGGTGGAGGGCTAGGGGGTCCTGGAAGCCAAATGAAGAATATGGTACTAACTCACTGGCAAGCCTCCGGGGCAGCTTGTCCCTATTCTTGAAAGCTCTTTAGGTATTTACTTCACTTTTACAAAATCTAACAGCCTGAATGAGCAGTGGGAAATAATCAAAATAATACTACTTTTCCTCAAATTGAGTACTTTACTGGATATTTCTGTGTACAGATTTATATTTGGTTACAGATCTCCATTTGTCTATTCTTTCATTAGGGCTGCCTTGCCAGGAGTGCTAATAAGGCATCATTTCATTTTTTTTCCCTGCAAGTAAAATTTAAAAAGAAGTGAAAGCAAGAGTTTTTGAAGTGTTTCTGCATAATCTTTAGTTATGCCTATAACTCTTCCATTGGTACATCTCATAAGAGATTTTCTTAGGAATTTTGAACAGAAAATAAATTTTCAGAATTATAAAGATTAGGGATTATACATTGTATTTTACAGCTGAGATGTAGAAGTCAAGGAAAGGAAAGGCCTTAGATTATATTACATGGCATTGCCTGCTTAATACTGCATAGACCAGGTGATGTATCAGTTGCATGTTCTTTGGGAAATTAAATGCAATGAGCATGCACTTGAACCTTCTGTTCCATGCAGATGAGCTTAGTTGTCAAGGACAGGAAAATAGCAGCTGCTCATAGAGTACCCATGGGTGATGGCTAGTTCACTAGACTGGAGGTAAACCAGACTCCTACCACAGCCAAGAATAAGCATTGTGTTTAAACCACTAATCAGTTGCAAAAGCCAACTTAGTTTACTGTGCTTCAGTTGGTGTTCATATTTTAATTTTATAATTGTAAAAATTAGTCTTTTGTATTATACTGACAACTTTATTTCAGTCTCAAAGGTAAGGTTAGTTCTACTTTTTTTTTTTTTTTTCATTCCTTTCCTTCTGCTACTCTTTTGGTGATAATAACTAACATTTAGTTAAGCATTTACTTCAGCCTATAGTTGTGTTAGGCACTTACATATATTTTAGCTTCATTCAACCCTAGGAAGAACTGTTTATCTCTATATTACTCAGAAAACTGAGGCTCAGAGAGGTTAAGTAACATGCCCAAAGTAACACAGCTAATAATGGTAGAACCAAAGCTTACAGCTATCCCCATTTTTTAAGTATTGAACTTAAATCATTTCTATTGTGTTTTTGCATATCAAAATATAGTTCCCTGGTATAATTTTTCTTTCTCTAATTTTTTAATTCTTTTCTTTCTTTTGATATACATGTTTAAGATAAGCTTAATAATAAGAAATTAAATTTTTTGTCCTGCATTTTGGATTAATGCCCTTTTTATGTTGCAGTCTTCATTTTAAAGTAAAGTTCCCCATAAAGTAAAAAAGACATGCAGAAATGTTGGGAGACCTTGTGGTCAAACCTTATCTCTTTCAGTTAAAGTTTAAGAGTGCACTTGTTCTACACTTTCTGAGGTTTCTTGCAGTGAATCATGATGCCAACCTTTGTAATGAGTTGCTGCCCTGCTGTTGTAATCCTTTGTTAAGATCATGCTTGCCTTGTTTTTAGACCTTAAAGCCCACAACCTCAGATGATGCTTATCTATTCCAAGTTGGTCATGTTTTAACTTTTCAGGTAATGAGAGCCTCCCTTGATATTTGATAGCATCAGTATTAAAGGTTAGAAGACATTTTTGGGGCAATGACATGAAACCCAAACCTTTCTGACATTTGTTAGCCTCTCAGAAATGACATTTATTTGAGGTAAGTTTCCTATGGTGTCAGATCTTCAAGGACTTAGTAGTGTGTCATGATCTAAGGGCTACTTTGGTTGTTCTTGATTTTGTTGTTAGTTGTCCTGAAGACATCTTCAGTGACAGGGTATTATTCCAGACATCAAACTGAACTCATATCTGTGTTAGATGCTGTGATCTTATTATTAGTATCCTGCATGGGTTGTCATTTGAAGAAATGTTGACAAACATAAATGACAGCAGTTTTGAGGTGTTAGAATTTATTATTAATCTTTATTTTAAATGAACTTTAATTGGTGATCTTGTACATTGGTACAATAGTTATGGAAAAAAGCACAGCAATTCATATCAAGAGCCATAAAGTTCTCATACCCTTTATTCTAACAGTTTTGGGGATGAGCGTCCTTTTAGTCTGAACCAGAAAGGTAAAGAAAACTCTCAGAGACTCATCTTTCACTGTGTTGTTTTTCTTATTTCTTCTGTATTCACTTTTTTCATGGGCACATTTATTTGTAAAGACACATTATCCAAAATAATGTATGATTTCCAAAGCGCTTAACACTAAATTAGTTTATTGCATCCTACTTTATTCTAACTTTGAATCAGAGATTTAAATATAGAACATATTTGCTAGCATGTATTTAGTACTTATTCTATGTTAAATACTGTATTCTATGTGCTTTATAAATATAAAATCACTTAATACTGAAAAATACTGAGATAGATATTATGATGCCCATTTATGAGAAAACTGATGGTTTAAATTTACTGTCCCAGATTAAAACCTACTAAGATGCAGAAGTGGGGTTTGACTTCAGGCATGCTGGCCTGTGAATCTGGAAATATTGTTATATATACTGTGTAAGTTCATATGTTTTATGAAATATTTTTTATATTTATTTACTTTTTAATCTATTGCCGTGGCCAGTGATGACCAAGAACATATGAAGAATTTTTAATTTTTTAAAAAAATATTTTATTTATTTATTTATTTGAGAGCTTGACTGGGGAGAGGGGCAGAGGGAGAGGGAGAAAATCCAGCAGATTCCACACTGAGTGCATAGCCAGATGTGGGGCTCAATCTCACAACCCTGAGATCACAACCTAAGCCAAAACCAAGAGTCGGATGCTTAACTGACTGTGCCACCCAGGTGCCCCTGTGCATTCTATTTTAAAAGACCATGTAAATAAAGCATAATTCCCTAACACTGTGACTGTCCTTATATAAGATTTGGGGTAGTCATAAAAATCTGTAACTAGGAAAGAAGTGAGATATGAAACTTTGTAATAAGCAAAACATATAATAATTTTCAAGCCTTTAGGATTACCAGTCCTTTTTCCCTTGGCAATTTAGATTTGGAACTCTACTAAAATATGTCTTTGTTTCTTGGTAGAGTGGAGTTCCAAGCCTGTTAGAGGTGAGAATGTCCTGTAGACAGAGATGCTTATTCCAATCCTCAGCTGACTTCTCAGGTCACTTTTGTTTCTGTTCCTGCCAGTACAACCTTTAAAAAAATGTACGATCATAAATGTATGAAGTTTATGTTTCTTTTTGTAACATTGACTTTTACTGCCTTCAGAATACTGTGTTTGCTTTTAAGTGCCATATGGGTGTTTTAGAGTTACTTGCTTGGATATGAGTCTTCATCATCAGTCAATAAATTATTTTGCTGAGTATGGATTTAGTTTATAAAATGAGTAGAAGCAAATATCCCTTGTTATTAAAAATACACCTTCAGTATTTCAAACTGCAAGTCATCACAGAGATGTAAAATTTGAGCCACTTTATTAAACTAGGGATTTGATTTTGTCCAGATTGTTCTTCAGTGGGAAAGGCAGAAATAATGAGAAATGTGAAAATGATATCTGTGCCATGTTATCATGCAGGCCAGGAGGATCCTTTAGCTTTCCTTCTCTTTGTCAGAACTGGCCTTACTCACTCTTCGTGCCCACATAAATATTATTTAGTTAATAATAAAGAGCAGGGATCTGTTCTTTACTCCTAGCGTCATGCAGGTTTTTGTTGCATGCCGTTTTCCTTGATGTCATCCATCTCCGTTTTTGGTCATGATTATTTGATTAAATTCTCTCCCTCTGCCACTAGATTGTAACTTCTGTGAAAACAAAGACTGTGTTTTTGCTTATGTATGTGTCTTGAGCCATTATCACAGTCCCTGGAACAAAGAAGTTGCTTAGTAAATATTTGATGAGTGACTAAGGGTTTTATTTATCTTTATCTTCACATGTACCTAGCATAGCACTTGATATGTGGTTATTGTTCAGTAAATGTTTGCTGAGACAAATTGAAAAAAATCTGTTTAAAGTACATAGACTTCCTTGACAGAAATTACAAATTTTATAAATGTGAAAAGATTATACATGATCTTATTATTTCATATTCTTTATTCCTTTTAAGCCTATAACATATAATGATATCTATAATTTACTTAGTCCGTAGTATGTGCTAAGCACTTAATACACCAATCTAATCTCACTTCAGAACAATTCAGTCAGGCTTTAATATACCCATTTTACAGAAAGGTTAAGTAATTTATTTAAGGTCACAAAGCTAGTAACTGGAGAATTTAGTATTTAAGCCAGATTGCATGACTCTACAACCTGTCCTTTCAGCCACCATACTATTCCAAGCAATGCACAAGCCAAAAAACTTTAGTGTAATACATCGAAGATAAGCAAATTGTATGTCACTGACCAGAAAGTGGTAGGTAAGTAAAAATGGATAAAAATATGATTTATTTAAGTAAAAAGAAAAAAGGTAAATGTGATTAAATAATTGGAACAATTTTAATAATGTGGCTATGAAAACAAGCTCAAGGCTGCTAGTTCTTACAATGTTAAGTCAGGTGCTTGGGGTAGTTTGAATTTGACTTGTAACTTTTTTTGTTTATGCTTCTTATAGGTTTGAGTGGCCGCTTCTTTGTCACTACTCTCCCAGCATTTTTTCAGTAAGTTTAAATAATTTTCTGATTAGAAACTTAGAAACATTAGAAAAGATTCAAAAGTAGTACATGTATATCAGGAATTCTAAGTTGTTTTCCATAGCCATTGCTCATTCAGCTTAACGTTTGAAGAGAGAAAGACTGGTGTGCATTGAATGATAGCTGGTAGAAGAGAGGGGTGCCCAGACTACAGCAGGGGAAAGGCACCTAATGTTAGACAGTGAGTAGGAGGGGAAGGGTGGTGTCAAATAAGATTTCTCCAATAATATGAAAGGTAGGAATTGGGTTAAGCAGACAGGGTGGAGAAGGCCTTTCCAGATACAGGAGATATCATGGAAAGCCTGGGAGAAAATAAGATACCTTCTGAGGACTGTAACTGGTTCTGACCCAAAGGATGCATTTGGATCATCTTGGGTGATAAGGCTAGAGAGGCTCAGGTAGTGATAGGGGAAGGGAAAGGGGAAGATACTTAGGAGGTGGGATCACTGGGACATGGTGACTAGTTAGCGATAAGGAAGGAAGAGCCTGTGATGACTACCAATGGACCATGTAGAACTCATAAAAGCTATTGAGGAGCCATTCGAATAAGATGAAGTTTGGAAGATAGAGGCCAGAATGGAGAAGACAGTGTGAAGTGCCTGTTAATTCCAAATGGAGAAGTTTACGTAATAGTTTGATTCCAGGATCTAAAGCTCAGAAGAAAGATCTAGACTGGAGACATGTATTGGAGATTCCTCAGCATCGAGGTAGATAAACATTGCAATGTATCTAGGGAGAACATACACAATGGGACGAGAAGTAGGTCAAGGATAGAACCTGGGGTTGACCAACATTAGGACATTTGCAAGGGAGGACAGGGAGTGAGGAACTGAACAGGGGTGGTCAGAGTAGTAAAAAGAAGCCAAGGAAGCTCATGTCAAAAAAGCCAGGAGGAAGGAAGGGATGGTCAGTAGTGGACAGTGCTGATGACAGACAGGGAAAAATGACAGAAAAGTGCTCTATGCATATGGCATTGAAGAGTCATTGGAAACCCCCAATAGGAGCAATTTCTATGGAGTTGTGGAAGCAGAACCACCAGTCACATGAATGCTGAATGAGTAATACATGGGGAGAAAATGGCCAGTGCAGACTCTTCCCTCAAGAAGGGGACTGTGGCAAGAAAGAGAAAGACTGAGGGGCCTGTGAGAATACAGGTGTTTTGTTAATTTTTTTGGGGGGGGGTTGGATGACATAAGTTTGGAAAGCTGGATACAAGTTTTTAAAACTTGATAACAATTACTGTTTTGCCATTGTAAGAGAAAAATTGAAATAATTGGTAGCAAAAATGATAAAAATAACTTGGTAGATTAGACACTGCCAAGAACTTTGCTTATGGTCTCAAATTGTGCAGTGATAAAATAGAATGTGTAATGCTTGCTGTTTTGGAATTCTTAATCTCTAATAGATTAATATTTATGCCTAACTATAATTTTTTCTTCATTTGAGTCAAGTTAAAATTCAAAGTGGAGTTCACATGTAAAACTAGTATTTATTTTGATTTTTATTATCTGTAACACTTGTTATTTTAATAGATTTATTTTCTGTTTGTTTTTCTAATTTATAGTGCAAAGGATGGGATATTCCGCCGTTACCGTGGCCCAGGAGTCTATGAAGACCTGCAGAATTATATCTTAGAGAAAAAATGGCAATCAGTGGAGCCTCTGACTGGCTGGAAATCCCCAGCTTCTCTGACGTAACTTGTTATTTTTCTTATAACAAGGTGTTATTTATAAAGCAGGAGGTATTAAGTTAAACAGCCCATAGACCCTGCAAGTCTACATTTTTCTTCATATTCAGTTCTGATTACCCTGACTACACATGACCATACTTGGCCAATGTTGTGTTTCTAGTTTTATGACCCACATGTTTCAGCCAGTTGTTAGCTGGGAATTAAGTATCGCAAATTCACGTGGGTTACAAAAGCCTTTCCTCTGACTGTTGCACTGAGCCATATCAACTATTTTCTCTTTACAAAATATGATATTGAATATCATTTACTGTTCTTTCTTCTAATTCTTTAAATTATTGATAAAATAGAAGAGTTAACGCTTTCTTGAATTATAGTTTATGAAGGAATTGCTATTGTATCTATGTGGAAAATAAAACCTACGGTGTCTTTAGCTGCCTAGTGGAACACATATGGGGGTAACTTTTGTCCATAATGTCAAACTGTATAATTCTTGGTGAAGTAAATTAAGGCCAAGCCATACTAACTTTTTCCACAGTTGTTTTAATTTTGAATGAATTGTCATAATTGTAGTTAAATTTATGTTAGTGTATATAAGAATAAGGAATATCCCTGTTAAAATAGAATCAAATTATGCAATATTTCAGGAATAAATCATCCAGTAGCATTTATATACTATCCAGGAAATACAGAGCTTACTCTAAAAGCAGTTCACTGGGGTGCCTGGGTGGCTCAGTCGGTTAAACTTCTGCCTTCAGCTCAGGTCATGATCCCAGAGTCCTGGGATTGAACCCCGCATTGGGCTCCCTGCTCAGCAGGGAGTCAGCTTTTCCCTCTGCCCCTCACCCCGCTTGTGCTCTGTCTCTCTCTCAAATAAATAAAATCTTAAAAAAGTAAAAGCCCCTCACCTCTGGCGTTTCATTCTACAAATATTTGAGCACTGATTTTATGCCAGATGCTGTTCTAGGTGCTAGATATTAAACAGTGAGCAAGACAGAGCTGCTCTCTTTAGGTAACTTAAAGTAAGACAGATTAAGGAAAAAAAAAAAAAACTAGGGATATAAAGAATCTTAATCTGGATAGCTACCTTTAAAAACAAACAAATCTTTACTAAGACAAGACTAACTGGGGGGGCATGGGCCTCCATCGGATGAGAGGTGGAGCAGCAGAGAGAGCTGAAGGATAGAATGACCTAGCTAGGTAAAGAGCATGGAGAGAGTATTCCCAACAATGGGTATAGCATGGCTATAGCCCACCATCTGGGAAGAGCTCATGTTACTGAGGAGCAGAAAGATGGCCAAGGTTGAGCACAGAGAAAGGGAGGGGGAGCAGTATACACTAAGAAAGAGAGGCAGGGAGGAGCCAGATCATACAGGTCTGCAGCCTCGGTTTGGAACTTGGATGTCAGTGCATACAATTAGAAGATGGCTCTTAGGGCGCCTGGGTGGCTCAGTTGGTTAAGCAGCTGCCTTCGGCTCAGGTCATGATCGCAGAGTCCTGGGATCGAGTCCTGCATTGGGCTCCCCGCTCAGCGGAGAGCCTGCTTCTCCCTCTCCCTCTGCCTGCCTCTCTGCCTGCTTTTGCTCTCTATCTATCTCTCTATCAAATAAATAAATAAAATCTTAAAAAACAAAAAAAAGACGATGGCTCTTAGGAGGAGAGGTTGGAGAGGGCACAAATGGATGAGGTGAGACAGTTGCAGTGTCCAGCCTAAGGGTGGCAGTAGTGTGCCCAACAGAGTGGCAGAAGTGGGCATTGAGAGAATTTGAAATATGCTTTGAAGGTCGACTTGGCTAACGTGCAAGAGGGAAGATTCACAGAAAATCTCCTGGGTTTCTGTTTTAAGTACTTGGTGGGCCTTGGTGTCAGTTACTGATTTGAACAAGGGAAAAGCAAGGGCTTGAGAGTTTGAGAGGCAGAGTTCCTTCTAGAGATGTCAGGTTGGATATATGGAGATGGGTCTCCATGGAGAATTCAGGAACACAAATACAAAGCACGTAGAAGGTATTTAAACCTTAGAAGGGAAAGAATCACCTAGAGGGAGGAAAAAAGAGGAAAGTGTTTGGGACTGAGACAAGAGACACCCCAAAATTTAGAAGATGGGTAGGGAAGGACCAACAAAAGGAAACTGAAAATGGGTACCAGTGAGGCAGGAGGACCATCAGGGGTATGCAATTTCCTAGAAGCTAAGCAAAGGGTGCTCAAGAAAGGGAAGTAGTCACTTGTGTCCCATGTTACTAAGGGGTGAAGGAAGATTGAGTCTGAGACATGGATGTTGGATGAAGCAATGCAAGGTCATCATGGCCTTATCACAAATAGTGATAGCACAGTAGTAAGGACAGAGGCCAGATTTGAATGGTTAAAGGTACGGTGAGGAAGAAGAAATAGTAAGCATAGACTACTCTTTGGAGAAGTTTGTGGAGCTGGAGAGCCCTGTGAAGTCCAAGAACGCACTTTTTAAAAGATAAGAGAGGGTAGAACATGTTTTCATGCCGAAGAAAATGATCCCCCAGAAAGGGAGAAATTGCTAATGCAGGAAGAGGGATGGCAGAAAGAACCAAGTCATTAACAAGACCAAAGGGATGGGATCCGTGGCACAAGTGGAGGAATTAGGCTATGGTAGGTCAGATCTACTTTCTCTGTCGTAACAGGAGGAGGTGGATCAGGTGTACGGCAGACTCAGATTTGGTGGTGGGAAGATAAGAGAGATCACATAATGGCTTCTGATTTTGCAGTGACGTACAAAGAGTATTTGTTAGCTGAGCGTGCATGGGAAGGGGAGGGTGTGGAAGGTCTGAAGAGAGGGAAAAGACATGAGCTATCATCTTGGGTAGAGCCTATAACAGTGCAGTATTGAGTGCTTCCCGAGGTTTGTGACTGGGAAGGGAGAGCAATCAGCTGGTCATGTGGTTTTCCCCAGAGACATGCAGCTACCCAGAGTAGGGGTTTTTGCCAGGTATGTATGATGGAGGGAGAAAGGCCCAGGGGTTTGAATGTGTTTATAACAGAAGAATTGAAATGAAGGCTATGGAATCTAAGCTTTATGTGAATGGAAGTGAATCCAGGAGAGAGGACAACATATTGCAAAAAGTGGAGGGGCAGATCCCTGTGACCTGAGGTGTTTTGTTTTGTTTTGTTTTGTTTTGTTTTGTTTTTAAAGTAGGTTTCATGCCCAGCATGGAGCCCAACACAGAGCTTGAGCTCACAGCTATGAGATCGAGACCTGAGCTGGAGATCAAGAGCCAGATGCTTAACCAACTGAGCCACCCAGGCGCCCCTTGTTTTTTCATAGTATACATCACCAGTGGTTCTCCTTCTCTTCAATTATTCATTTTTCTTTTAGGATGTCTGGAATGGCTGGTCTTTTTAGCATCTCTGGCAAGATATGGGTGAGTAATCTTAAATATACTTTTTGTGATTATCTTTACAGAGAGGTTTTTAAAGAGTAAAAATGTAGCTTCTAAACAATAGGAAAGTAAACACTTACAAATACTTTTATAATGTCACTTTTCTTCTTAAGCCACACAACTGCTCTCATATGGGGTCCCCAGTAGAATTGTGTCCCTGTGTAGAAGGGCATAAATTGAACAAAGACCTGTAACTGCTGTGTCAGTCATATTTTCTTAGACCAGTGATGGATCCCTTTATTAAAGCTGAAAGGGCTTATGTGGTTTTACTTCATCTTATTTTCCATTGTCAGAATCTCCCTATAGGTCAAAGATTATCTAAGCCTGAAAGTGATACTGTGTGTCAGGGATCTGCAAACTATAGCGTGGGGGCTGGCCACCTGTTTTTATAAGTAAAGTTTTATTGGAACACAACCATGTTCATTCATTACCTATTATCTAGAAGTGCTTTCATGCTACAGTGGTAGAGTTGAGTAGCTGTGACTGAGACCATGTGGCCCACAAGCCTTAAGAAAGTTTGAGCACCCCTACTATAAGCAATTTTATCGTTTCACTAAGTCATTTCAGTGAGTTAGAACTGTTACTTAGGTTAAAATGTTGAATAGTTATATAATCTTGAATGTGTTACATAATCTTTTACTTCCCTTTATGTGTAGGGTGGGCTAAATTCTGCCAAATTTAACAAACTTGCTGTGGAATTAAATATATATCCTTAAAGTATTTAAAAAAATCTTTAGAAGTGAGTCCTTACATTGTTCTTTTCAAGGCTATGATTCTAAGTCATGATATCATATTTGGAACTTCATATTCAAGGAGTTCATGAAGAATCTTCTTCTGTTTCTCATGCACATTGATATATGTTTAGGGAAATTTAAGAACAATCTTTTGTGTCCCAGTTTTTCAGTTATATTTTATTTTCTGCCTTGTGAGATGGAATACTAACTTCAGAATTTCTTAACAACAGGAACTAAGTTTGTCACTTGGATTCAGTAGTTCTTAAAGTTTGTTAACTGTTTTTTTGGCACTTGTGTATGATATTAAACAATAACTGGGATTTTCCCTCTCTCCAGATCGTATGAGTTTTATATTTCTTAACACTGATGAGAAGTTTATTCAGGGTTTGAGAATTATGAATTGCCAATTGGGAATTGAGAGTAAGGATTTTGCCTTTTGCAGTATGTTGACACTAAGGGTTGACAGAGTCATATATTCTGATCGCCATCAGAGAACCTTGTAGCCTTATAATGTCTAATTCAACAGGATAGTCATAATAGATGGATGTCAGGAATTGTAAGAGCAAGATCTTGGCATAGAACCTACAATAAGTGCAAATCAAGAGATGAATTTGTTTAGTGGTTTAAGAAGAGCTTAGATGGAAGTTGGTCATGACTTTAACGCACTGTTAAAAAGGTGTATTTTCAAATATAGTATCTGGGGAGAAAAATAATTGCTTTGACCTCATATAACTTGGCATTTTGTGCTTCGATAAATAAGACTTTAGATAAGGCGTTACAGTTTTTCATTTTATCATGCAAATAATTACAATGTGTGGCATTGTCATGTCAAGGCCAGGAGTGGGTGTTTTATCTTTATACGCACAGTGCTCCAGCCATGGGCAGCATGAACAGATCTGTGTGTATGCATCAGACTACAAAGAAAGGGCAACTTGGAGAAGAGAATATGATCCATTTCTGAATAACCAATGAAGATGTTCTTCCTTTTTTTTTTAAGATTTTATTTATTTATTTGAGAGAGAGCATGAATGGGGGGAGAGACAGAGGGAGAAGGGAGAAGCAGACTTCCCACTGAGCAGGGACAAGACTCAGGCTTTGATCCCAGGACTCTGGGATCATGACCTGAGCCAAAGGCAGATGCTTAACCAACTGAGCCACCCAGGTGCCCCAATGAAAATGTTCTTCTTAGTGACTGAAAAGTAGAGTATATATATTTATATATATATATATGTATACTTAGAATGTCTTTCCAGATATCTAAACAGGGAACAAAAGAAGATAGTTTTATAGGATGAATTGTTAAATTTGACACACAATTACATTTTACATTCTGTAGAGTCACTTTTATCTAATATTAATACCATATTTTTTTTTCTTTTTGGTCACTTTTGCCTGGAATGTTTTTCCACTTTCAGCCTTTTTCTTGTTGTTATGTTTTAAATGAGTCTTGTAAAAAGCATATAGCAACAAGTAATTCTTTTAAATGGTAAATTTAGTCCATTTATATTTATTGGTATCACTAATGTATTTGCCCTTACTCTGTGTGTGTGTGTGTGTGTGTGTGTAGCAGGGGGTAATATGACTAAAAACATAAGTGGGAGGTTTGTAGATTATTTTGATCTCTCCATGTGTGTGTATTCATTACTTTAAAAATCTGTGAGAGAAATCTGGTATCACCCTCTGTATCAGCATCTAGCTTCCCCAAGCCTCTTGACAACTTTTGTAGTTTCTTCTTTTCTTAGAAACAAGTTTTCAGCCTTCCATGAAATCTCTGGGAAGGGCTCTTACAACCTGTTTCTATAATCTAGCCCTTGTCCTCTTACAGAGGACATAATTTCCAGCCTGGTGAGACCCAATCCTTGGCTATCTGTCAGGTTTCCACTTCAGCTTTGAGGTGCAGTCTTGCCTGGTTGCACCTAAAGAACCATTTAATGAGCAAGTCCTCCTAGCTGACTACCCAGCTCACTCAGCATATTTAGCCAGCCCTTCTCCCTTGTCCAGGATCCTTTCCTCAATGTTGAATGTATAATTGTGGGGAACATAATCTGTTTATAACTCATGTCTAAACAATATAAAACTATAGTGCAACCATATTAACAGTGAACAAAAGGAACATAGTATGTGGTGAGAGAGAGAGAGAGAGGGAAAGAACATGGCTAGAACTAAGTGAGTGTAAGAGGTCTCCAAGAAAGATCAAACAAGGGAAGAAGGAAAGACACAGAGTGGCTAATGCCAGTGATGTGAGGTTATTGACCTCCATCCACAATCTCTTTTATCCTACTGTGATGTCGTGGATACATAGACAGATAGAAGTCAGTGTTTCTTCATCAACAGTCTCCCCTGGATGAGTGGCTGGTTAGGTATAATACTTCTATAGGAAAAATTGCATGTTATTAAGTGGGGGAAAAGATAACAGAACAGTGTGTGTAATGTTATGTTCGTGTGGAGTTTTTATGTGTATACCGGAAAATGCCTGGAAGGAGATTAATCAGATGTCAGCAATAGCTATCTCTGATACTGAAATTATGGCTGATTTTTAAAAAAATCTCTTATCTTTCTCTGTATTAATTTTTTTCTGTAATGAAAAAGATAAAGTAAAAACAAGAACAGTATCTATAAGATGAGCCTACTGAACTAGTCCTTAAAGTCCTTGAGTTTCTGCTTTAGGAATGAAGCCAGCTTGCTGGATCTGGCATTCTGGAAATAAGAGCTTGTCCTCAGGATGTCAGAATTGCTTGGTGAGGAGACACCCACATAGCTGAGCTCCCATGAACTCAGGGGTTTTGTTGTGTTCTGCATTTGGCTTTCTTAACTCTACACCAACCTCCCATATGTTCTTGTTTGACTAAACCCTTGAGGTGAAGAAGTTCCTTGAATAGTGTTATAAGCCAGATCCTGTGAGCTTCCTGCTGTCACCTGGAATCCAAGAGATCCTTAGTAGGTAATTTGTACCACAGTATGGGGGAAGGGTGGATAATCTCAAATGTTCTATCCATCACTAAAATTCAGATTTCAATCCAGTCATGATGGTATCCACCGATGTATTTTAATTTTTGTATAAACTCATGGAAGCCATTGCCACTCTAGTTATAACACCCATCCTCATATATAGTCTTGACATTTGCCTACCCCATAAGAGTCACGGGTGCCTGGAAGATGTACAACTCAAGGAGTTCCTCAAAGAGTGGATAGACAGCTTCTAGCTATGGAATTGGTACTGATTTTATATTTATAGTAGCAATATAAAATGTCTTTGAAATTCAGCTTAAAAGAAGTTATGCAACTTAATGAGAAATGTTAATAATCTAAAGAATAGTACAAGGTGAGGCTCATGCCATGGAAGCAATGCACAGGAGATTGAACTTGGGAAGCACTGTCACTGAGTCAGGTGCCACAGTCGGGGTTCGGGATCCTGGGGCTGACATGTTGTTGTGGCCCATGTATGGAGAGACTTTCCAGCCTTCCTGTCTTCTCATCTCTTTTCACAGTTGACAACAGTGGTGTAGGGAGGTATTACCTTTCTCTCTTCCAGAGAGACAACTCATTGTTCTCTACCCTGTGTGTGTATCTCTGAGTCCATGAGTTTCCCTTGCCATAAACTGTTATCACTAGAACACTTTGAGTGCTTAGCCTAGAACCTGGCACCTAGTCAGTACTCGCCAACTGTTTCTTGTTAGTTGTATTCATTAATCATTATTGTCATCATTATTTTACTTTTTACCTCTCACTAGTCAATAAGGAATGCTTTCTCTTTTTATTCATTTATTTTTTAATCCAGGCTGATAGCAGGATTAAAGTAAGGTTCTATGGCAGTTGTACAATGAGTATTTTTGCTAACTAGGTTTAGCATCTGAATGCATTTCAGTGTTATTTGATTTCATTTGGTGAATTTGTACTGCTCACTGAGCTAATATAGTATGTAACTTCCCTCACCTCAGTGCCACCGTCGTTATGCAAGGATGCAGGCAATAAGGTAGGCTGCATCCTTGGGAGGACAATCTGTATGATGGAGAAGATTTAAGGCTTTATAAATACCTCACAATGAGAATTTAAGGCCATGAGTGTTTAGACTGGAGAATAACAAGAGAGTGTTTTTTTCGAAGTAGGAATACTTTTTTAAAAATTTTAATTCCAGTGAATAACAGTGTTATATTAGTTTAAGTGTACAATATAGTGACCCAACAATTCTATACATTACTGAGTATTCATTATGACAAGTGTTCTCTTAATCCCTCTCACCTATTTCACCCATCCCCTAACCCAACTCTGCTCTGTTAACCATTATTCTCTACAGTTAAGAGTCTATTTTTTGGTTTGTCTCTTTTTTTCTGTTTGTTTTGTTTCTTGGATTCTTCATGAGTGAAATCATATGATATTTGTCTTTGATTAACTTATTTCACCTAGCACTATACACTCTAGATCCATTCACCTTATTGCAAATAGCAAGATTTCATTTTGTATGGCTGAGTAATATTCCATTGTGCATATATGCCACATCTTCTTTATCCATTCATCTGTCGATGAGCACTTAGGTTTCTTCCATAATTTGGCTATTGTCAATAATGCTGCAATAAACATAGGGTATATATATCTTTTCCAATTACTGTTTTCATATTCTTTGGGTAAATACCCCATAATGAAATTACTGGATCACATGGTAATTCCATTTTTAACTTTTTGAGGACCCTCCATAGTGTTTTTCACACTGACTGCACCAGTTTGCATTCCCACCAACAGTGCATAAGGGTTCCTTTTTCTCCACATCTACAACAGCACTTAATAAGAATATATTTTAAAACTCCCCAAATGTCACCGTGTTTTAGATAGTAGTATGTCTCCTCTTACTGTTTTGAGTTTTTTTTTCCTTGTAAAATGATCTAGAACCATATTACAGTGAGATGGTGTACACCCACAAAATACCTCTCTTAATGCCTACAAGAGCTGCAAGGTTGTGTTTTGTTGCAAGTGTTGAAAGGGTAAAACATCGAAGGTGAACTGAACCCTTGGCCATTACTAGAGAAAGTCTTTCTGAGCTGCTCCCACACAGGGAAGATGTTTTGAGGATTCTGATCTGTGCTTGAAAGGGATATTGGGTTTGTCCCAAAACTCCTCAGAGTATATCCTGTGACATTGGTGGGATCTAAATCCAAAGGGTTCTCTGTCATTCAGGGCCTACCCAGCTCTGACTGAGACTATGCAGCACTGGGCTCACTAAGTGGGTGCCCTTGGGCAGCATTGAATCTGACCTGCAGTAGGTCAGTCCCCAGAGGGAGTACTTTTCTTTTTCTCTGGAGAGAAAAGGCTCTACCTTATCCATGGACGCTTTGGCTTTGCTCCATTCCTTAAATCCATCTAACCATTGGGTAGAATGTTCTTCTCATTTATTCTACTGTAGTGGTGTCTTCATTTAGTCTCTCACTCAAATCTGTATGTAGCCAAAAACTAGCTCTAACTCCATTATCTATTACAATAGTACTGTAGAAGTTGTCAGCCCCATTAGGTGATATTTTTGTGCATTTTTAGGAAACAGAGTAAGATGCTTCCTTATAATGAGCACATATAATATTGAACAAGGATCAGTATTTTCCACAAGTGAGAACTGTCACTTTGCCTGACAGTTAAAGAAACAGAAATACAGGAATCTAAAACTGAGTTAAATCAGTATGAATCAGTTACTACTTGAAAGCATACATACAGCAAGACTTCAAGTACCTAATGCCACAAACCCCAACACTCTTAAGGTGTTCTAAAACCATTGTGAACTCAGACAAAGTAAACAGATAAAGATTTATGTCTGCAGTTGTGAAAACACAACTTGGTTAATAAGGCTTTAGTATTAATCAACTAAAAGACCACAAGATGGCAGGGTTTCTCTAAGAGGCTCAAATAAATCCTTTAAAGAGTAAGTTGAAAAAAAAATAAGTGCATATGTATTAGGGTTTCCAAAAAAAAAAACTGTACTCTTCATCATGTATGAACAATAAATGCTTTATTATCAAATTAGTATTGATAATAATAACAGCTAACATTTATTAGAAAATAAATAAATAAATAGTAAGTTGATAGAGAAAATTGAAGCAGAGCTTGCTACAATAAGAGGATATTTTGAATGCACTAAGAAGTGTGTGACCCAGAATGCAATGATTCAAAGTCATTTAACTTATTGAATTCCAGAAAATAACTTAGAAAATTTCTTAAGGGTTACTTTAATCATTTATTTTGCAGAAAGGGTGTAAGACACTATGCAGAAGGACTTATAACTAGACATCCATTCCAGCCATACGGATGGATATTATTTATAAAACAAGTTCCAGAATACACACCTCTCTGGGTCGACACAAAACCAGACTGGCTTTCCATATCTTCTAATTCTTTGGCACATTTCAGAGTTTAATTCTGTTGGTGGCACTGAGTCATCAAGTAAAGTGTAAACTATGAATACAAAGGATTTTCTAAAGTGGAGAACTGTATGATATATTTTAGAACTTAATTGAGCAGAGTTTGAATGAAGCAACCTGTTGATATCCCAAATACCTCTTTGCCTCCTGGGCTGCAGGACGTTAGATTACTCTTAATAAATAATTGCCCTGGCTAAAGATAAAATGATGACCAATGCCATAACAGAGGATGGATGATAGTTTTACAAATCACGAGTTGTTTGCATTTCCTATGAATAATTGAAGGATATGCTAGTATCTTTTTTAAATTCAATAAATATTTATTGAACACTTTGCATATATAAATATGTAAAATATTTGCTGAGTCTTTGGATCTATCTCTTCTACTGAATATGAAATTGGAGAGAGGAGATCTCAGATTATTCTAGACCATTAACAAGCTTTTTTGTTTGTTGGTTTGTCATTCAGAATTAAGCCAGAATAAAAGATAGTATTTAATTGAATTGACATTTATAAGCTGGGAAACCAGTGGGAGATACTGGAGTAATTTGGATTTTGAGAAATATTAAATTAAAATAGAAACTAGGAGTCATTTTCATCCACCTCATCAATTCTAGGCAAGACATTCAGTTGTTATCTCTGCTTGCTGGTGGCACTTAGCTTGGAACGATTTCATCATGTGCCCAGTAAATGCTTGGATTATAGTGAATGACTGGTTTTGGAGCTGTAAGGGCCTAACACAGATGATCACTAAGTCATCATGGTGAAGCATGGCTGCTGCAGGTCCACATTTAAGTGGGCCTTGACTCCAAACTGGTAGGTTCATACCTGCATGACTTAGCATGTAAACAATTTTTAGCAAAAATGGTTATCTCTTCACTCATTTTTTAAATGTTTGATATCAAAGCTAGTCCCAGGGAACAGTAAGCAGGGATGAGGGCTCTACTCAAAGACTGATGGAATCTCATTTAGTAATAATGAATTAACTAGAAAACTTTCTTCTGTCTAATATTATATTTTCAGTATTATGGTGATTTAGGCAAGTTATTGAGGATGAGTAGAGTAGAGTAATGGTCTGATTAGGAAAAGGAAATATAGGGACATTTTATTTTAATTAATTAATTACTTCATTCATTCAAAGAGAGATGGAGTGGGGGTGAAGGGGGGCAGAGGGACAGGGAGAGAGAATCATAAGCAGGCTCCATGCCCAGCACAGAGCCTGGAACAGGGCTCCATCTCACAATCCTAAGATTGTGACCTAAGCCAAAATCAAGAGTCAGACGCTTAACCGAGTCACCCAGGCACCCCAGTATGGGACATTTTTAATGATTGATGTTCTATAAGTAGTAATTTAGTTCCACTTAAAAATTGACAAAGGCCCAAGAAGTTTAATTTTTTATGGATGCCACATGATGAATAAAAATTGAGGTATGTGGAATTATAGGGGAGAATGACCCAAAAGAGTCTCATGATGAAAGAAGGGGCTAGAAAAACAATTCTGCCAGAGTTCTACCAGATCATGAACAAAGAAATATAACTCTTACTAGATATGACCTTGATTATTACTCTCTGATTTTCAGTGTTGTAAAATTTGACTTGTCCTTGAAGAATCACATAAATGCAGATTGGGTGAACTTTGTGGGAACTCATACATGTAGAAACAGTTTGCAGACTTGAGTTCTAGCAAGAGAGGGAGATTCAAACATGTTTGGTAATAAGTAAATATTTTATTTTTTTCTTCTGATTACAGCATCTTCACAACTATTTCACAGTGACCCTTGGAATTCCTGCTTGGTGTTCTTACGTCTTTTTCGTCATGGCCACCTTGATTTTTGGCCTTTTCATGGGTCTGGTAAGAGATAATGCCATTTTCCCCCCTTTCTTTAAAGCCACATGGGTTTCATGCAAAACTAGATAGCAGCCAAGAAAGAAAAGATGCATAAACAAGTATCATTTTGTGTATAATCTAAGCAGTTACTTTTTTGATACTACTTTCAGTGGTAATTTGAGATATAATGGAAAGTTCATTAAATTATTATCTCCTAATCCTAACCTTAAATATTCTGAAGATGTGTGCTACCTAGAATATAGGTAGTAATGAAAGAAGAATTGGAGACCTTACATGAATTCATAGTCACTTTCTAAGACAACCAAGTCAGCTGTGATTTCACACATCGCCTACTTGATTGGACACTGTGGTGATAAGGCCAAACCTGTGAATTTGTTCCTTGAACAAGGTGAACAAGATTTTTTCTTGTTCACATCCTCCAACTGAACCTCTAATTCTGACCTGCTACTTATATATAATTCTGGTTATCCTAAGGTGGATTTTGTGAGATAGTGTAGATAAAAAAACAGTCATTATTGTGGGGAAAAAAATAAGATGCAAAGCACATTACTATGTCTTCTTTAGGTATGAAAATTAGTATCTAGTAGGTATCTGTGTGTTTTCTCCCTAGATGTTTTAGGTAAGAATTGAAATAATAAATTTATTTACTTCACTACATAAGCAACTATAAGTGTTTTGGCAATGTTTTACTCTTTTACATAATTTTTAGATCTTTCTTTTTATACTCACACTTGATCAATTTGATTAAGCTTTAAACTCTAATTAAGAAGTTCTTAAAAGCCATTGTGTTATATATTAATCACAAAGCTTCTAAACACTGTATGATAGGGATAACTGATGATTACTAAAAATTTATATAAAAAGGACAGACATTCAGGTTAGATTATCTTAAAGTCTATCCTTATATTGTATAATGCATTTCAGCTCTTTAGTAAGTCCTTTTTAAAAATAAGCTTAAAATGTTAGCAATTGCTTTTATATATATTAATAAATAACTTGCTATGACAAAGCCATACTCCAAGAAGCCAAGGAGGCTTGATTTTATTTTGCTGCAGACATGCTTAATTCATGCTATGGCTTATATTTGAGATCTGACCACTGGTGTTAATTCCACAGATGGGGCTGGAACTCAGATATGTCATTCATTAGGTTGCATTAATCTTATTGCTAATCAACATGGCTCTGATGGTCTGGCCTAAAAGATTTGACTTTGGATATAAATTTGACTGGATATAAATATGCTTCTCCCATCTACTATCTAGTGCTAGATCTTTCTAGCGGTGTATTTTAGAGCCACACGAGTGTGAGGCTTTTGTAGGGGGAACACCATGAGATCCTGGGTGGTTCTCAAGTGGTGTTATGGAGAATGTAGGTTGAGTGTGAGCCTATTGAAAGACCACTGGAAACTCTACTCAGCATAAAGAGTTTCTGAATTTTATCTTTGATGTTAACGTTAAGTTCAAAAAATCAGGCCAGGCCTGCCTATGCCCTAAGTTCATTTGGAAACTTAGATTCAAATAATCGGTCCAGGAAGATTATTAAGGTTTGGACTGAAGGAAGAAGAGAGTTGATTCTAGACTGTTCAAGTGATTCAATGATATAGAATATTATTCCTTTATAGGAAAAAGAGAGTTGATTCTAGACTGTTCAAGTGATTCAATGATATAGAATATTATTCCTTTATAAGAAGTTGGGAGGAGAACTTTATTTAACAAAAGAATACTACATTTTCTGGTAATAAATTTCCATAAATACCAAACACGTATCTCTGATTCCTTTTCTACAACCATAATATGTATTTAAAAAAAAGTACATAACAGCTAGAATTTTTTTTTTTTTTTTAAGATTTTTATTTATTTATTCATGAGAGACAGAGAGAGAGAGAGGCAGAGGGAGATTCAGGCTCCCAAGGAGCAGAGAGCCCGATGCGGGACTCGATCCCAGGACCCTGAGATCATGACCTGAGCTGAAGGCAGACGCTTAACCATCTGAGCCACCCAGGCGCCCAACAGCTAGAATTTTTGCCTTCAAGGAGGTCTGCAGCTGTGCATTCCATGTTCTGTGGCACCTTTGCCTTTAACTGAGGGCTGAAAGCAGAGCCCAGGCCTGCAGTCCTGTGAAGCTCGGTCCTGGTGTCCCTGGAAGTTCTTCCCTCTATTAATCTTTCTAGATTCATACATATATAAAATTCAACTTTTACAGTGGCCAGGAGGAACACGATATTTTCCATAGAAGTGATTTCCTGGTCAAATTACTGTTCCCCATAAGCCTAACGATTATGTTTCCTACTTTTTCCTAATTTTAAAAGATGGTAAGTCAAAACAAGGCTGCTAGTTTAGATTTTTGTTTGTTTTCTTGATTGAGCCTTGTGATGACCGCATTACATTAGTAAACGTTATTTTTCACCTGTAAACAAAGGGCTCAACCTCTAATTCTATATACTATTTTCCCCCAGCGCGGGAGTTTTTCAGTTCTGAGTGATCTATACACTTGGTATTTGCCCGAGGATCCTGCTGGTCTTCTGGGGGAGGGCCCTGTTGCACTGATACTCAGGCATCTTTACCTTTGTGGAGTTGCACCACTCCTGGCCCGGCTCATTGGAAGCTGCTTCGCATTGCTCCGTGTGACTTTTGTTCCCTGAAGCCTTTTCGCACCATTTTAAGGGATGAAACAAAAGTAAAAAATGGCAGCAGAGCCCTGATCTCCAGCCCCAGAGCTGAATGATCACGGCCCCCTCTCTCCAGCGCACCCTCAGGGAAAGGTAGTCAATCCCTTTTGTGTGCGCTGAACCCCGCAGACTCCTGCGGTGCACACCCGCACCAGTCCTCCCAGCTGCAGAGGAGTGTCTCCTGGAGGCCCCGCCACTCTCTGGGCCCCTGCTCTGGAGCGTTTGCCTGATGGTGCACACCCACACCGCTCCTCCTGGGGGAAGGAGCCAGATCTCGCAGCGGTTGTCGCTTGCTGGGCCCCTGCTTGGTGAGGGCTTGCCCCGATCATGCTGCAGTTTGTGATGTATGGCAACACCTAGCTGAGAGGCCATTCCCGGGCTCACTAATTGTAGCTGCCTTCCCACGCCGATGCCTGGGAACTCTGCTGCACCCAGGCAACCCCGTTCTTTCGGGCAACCCCGTTCTTTCGGTCACCCTGGGGATCCTGAGACCACACTTCCCCCCTAGGATTCTGCCCTGCTTCGCCACCTGCGCACCTTTCAGGGAGGGACCTCCCTTAGAGGAGCAGACTTCTAAAAGTTCTGATTTTGTGCTTCGCTGCTATATTACTTTCTGGTAGCCGGCTTATGGAGGTTGCCTCCCCTTGTGATTTATCTTCCGATATATCCCCTCAGATTCACTTCTCTGCACCTCTTACCTTGCAAAAAAGTGGTCACTTCTCTACTTATAGAGTTGCATCAATTCCTTTCTTAGATCTCAGGTTGAATTCACAGGTGTTCAAAATGAGTTGATAGATAATCTAGCTGAATTCAAGGGACCAGATGAAACGCAGGTCCCCTACTCTTCTGCCATCTTCCCTAGGGACTATCACATGAAAATGAAATTTTTCAACCTCAGTCTTTTCAGATGGAAATGTTTTCCTCTTTACTGTTCAAATCAATTTAGTGGATTGGAGCCTGTTCCTCTCCAACCCACAGAGCTTCATGCATCCCATGGCCCTACCACATGGGTCTCCCCCGCCTGGCGTTCAGGGCTTTCTCTGGATCCAGGAGTCCCCATGGTCCAGTTTGGTGTAGCTCAGAGGAGCCAGGCAGCTGGTGCTACCCATCCACTCAGGACTATGCCCAGGACCTTGAAGGCTGCTTCAAGTGGCCATTCTTTTTTTTTTTTTTTTCAAAGATTTTATTTTATTTATTTGACAGAGAATGAGAGAGAGAGCACATGAGAGGGGGGAGGGTCAGAGGGAGAAGCAGGCTTCCTGCCGAGCAGGGAGCCCGATGCGGGACTTGATCCCGGGACTCCAGGATCATGACCTGAGCCGAAGGCAGTCGCTTAACCAACTGAGCCACCCAGGCGCCCCTCAAGTGGCCATTCTTGATCCTTCGCAAACCTATAACTGGTTGTCGTATTTGTTATCTTGTAAATATCTGTCAAAGTGCTTTATTCATTTTTCTTATGGAATTCATGCTCCATATTGCTTTATAATTAAACTGCCATTTTTTTCCCCTTTTTTGGAACTCCTCCCTGCAGAGGTTAACATGATACCTTGAACCTAATGAACCAAATTTTGAGTAAAGTAATAAATGAATATACAGATTGGTAATAATTCTGAACACAAAGTAGGGTACTCGTTTGATGTTTATGAAATTGAGTCAAAAGTACTGTGACTTCTTTAGGTTCTTTAAAATTTTAGAGCACCTTTAAAACACTAATGTATGAAGTAGTAGTACTATTTTAAAGCCTGGGCAACTATTCAAAGTAAAGGCAAAGTCCAGGAGTTAGCTGGGTACAAGAAGTGGATTGCCCTTCTAAGCGGGCAACTTCTCCCTGGGTGGACGTTTGCATTGTGGGGTGCTGTAGGGGAACGTGTAAGAATGACTGCAGCTTATTCCCGGTCAGGGAACTGTGCCCTTCATGACACAACCTGTAGCTTCATGGTCCATGCCAGTCCGGGCATGGAACAGGGACTGGGACGAACCTGCCCCTAAGGAGCTTGTAGTTTATGAAGGGAGAGGGATGTTTATAGGGTAAATAGAAAGTGGTTCATGCTGCAGTAAGGTCGGAGATGAAGCCAAGGCCATTACCGTCTAAGATAGGGTTTAGTTCATATCATTAATGACTTTTCTCACAATTTATTTCTGTAGAAATTTCTTATGGTACTCTTAAGAATTCTAGACCTTGACATCGTCTTTTACTGTCAGTGGTTACCCATTGGTGAGAGGCAGCCATATGCAGACTAATTTTGTTTGGCCAGAGGAGTGTTTTTAAAAAGGCCATTTTAGATACCAGCCCTTTATCTGTAGCGTCATTTGCAAATATCTTCTCCCATTCTGTGGGTTGCCTCTTTGTTTTGTTGACTGTTTCCTTTGCTGTGCAGAAGCTTTTTATCTTGATGAAGTCCCAAAAGTTCATTTTTGCTTTTGTTTTGCTAGCTTTTGGAGATGTATCTTGAAAGAAGTTGCTGTGGGCGATGTCAAAAAGGTTACTGCCTATGTTCTCCTCTAGGATTTTGATGGATTCCTGTCTCACATTGAGGTTTTTCATCCACTTTGAGTTTATCTTTGTGAATGGTGTTAGTATCCAAGATCTATAAAGAACTTCTCAAACTCAACACCCAAAAAACAAATAATCAAGTCAAAAAGTGGGCAGAAGAGATGAACAGACACTTCTCTGAAGAAGACATACAAATGGCTAACAGACACATGAAAAAATGTTCATCATCATTAGCCATCAGGGAAATCCAAATCAAAACCACATTGAGGTACCACCTTACACCAGTTAGAATGGCAAAAATGGACAGGGAGAGAAACAACAAATGTTGGAGAGGTTGTGGAGAAAGGGGAACCCTCTTACACTGTTGGTGGGAATGCAAGTTGGTACAGCCACTTTGGAAAACAGTGTGGAGGTTCCTCAAAAATTTAAAAATAGAGCTACCCTATGACCCAGCAATTGCACTCCTGGGTATTTACCCCAAAGACACAGATGTAGTGAAAAGAAGGGCCATATGCACCCCAACGTTCATAGCAGCAATGTCCGCAATAGCCAAACTGTGGAAAGAGCCAAGATGCCCTTCAGCAGATGAATGGATAAAGAAGATGTGGTCCATATATACAATGGAATGTTACTCAGCTATCAGAAAGGATGAATACCCAACTTTTACATCAACATGGATGGGACTGGAGGAGATTATGCTAAGTGAAATAAGTCAAGCAGAGAAAGTCAATTATCATATGGTTTCACTTATTTGTGCAACATAAGGAATAGCATGGAGGACACTAGGAGAAGGAAGGGAAAAATGAGGGGGGGGCGGAATTGGCGGGAGACATGAACCATGAGAGACTATGGACTCTGAGAAACAAATAGGGTTTTAGAGGGGAGGGGGGAGGGGGAATTGGTTAGCAAGGTGATGGGTATTAAGGAGGGCACGTACTGCATGGAGCACTGGGTGTTATACGAAACAATGGCGGGATCGTGGATTATGACATCAAAAACTAATGATGTATTGTATGGTGAGTAACATAACATAGTAAAATTTAAAAAAAAATAAAAATAAAAAGGTCATTTTAGACTTGGCTCAGAGTATCTATTTTCTTATACCTGCTTGATTTACCTATTTGTAATGGGCTCTCTATAGACATTTGACTTTGTGACCCCTGACTCCTGTTAATTATTTGTAATATTCTCCTACATTGTTACATTTGAAAAATAGGAGATTCTTAATTGTATCCATGTCTTTTTTGAGGACTTTTGACCAACTGCTAATTAATTGTCTGTGAATATCTGGTTATAGAACCAAGGCCTACATTTGAGGTTCTTTGGTATTAAATGTTATATCTAGTCACAGTAAAATCACTTTTTTCCCTCCAGGTCCTGGTGGTAATATCAGAATGTTTCTATATACCACTTCCAAGGCATTTATCTGAACGTACTGGTAAGTATGATAAACTCATGATAGAGTATTTTTGGAATTCTGGGGTGTGCCCTTTTGTGCTCACAGAGATACTAGATTCTTTGCCTCCCCCAATTCATTAGGTGGCCAAACCATCACCACTTACCAAATTCTTTGAAATATGTTCTCTAGATCAGATTTGAACAAAAATTCTTTTTTTCCCCTTAAATTAGGGAATACTTCATTTTGGCAGTTATTTTTTCCCTTTAAGTGTATGCCCTTCATCAGTTAGTTGATACCTTTTCTTTCATTCAAACTGGAATGAAGGCGGGCAACTCGTATTTATTGAGTCTCAACTATGTATCATTAACTATCCTAAGTACTGTAAGAACAGTCTCCCCAAATCTTTGCACTGCCCCACACCATTTGTGGGATTCAACAGCCCTGGATTTGCATGCTTTTATTCCTAGTTCTGAGACTTTGCATGAAGACTTTTATGAGACTTTAAAATTGTTGCATTTTATGTGGGAGTTTAAATAAACTTCTATTTCTTTTAAGTTCTTGAAGTTTTCAAGGCTTTGAGACTTCCTTAGATAATTAGATAATATATTATGTTCCTTAGAATTCTTAAAAATCACAGAAACCCAGTTTAAAGTAACTTAGGAAAAAAAGGAAAATTTAAATTAACTCACATAACTGGAAGACCCAGGGATGTTCTGGCTTCAAGCACAGCACAAGGGTTGTTAGGTTTCTGCTTCTCTGTGGCTGATTCGGGGGCTCTCAACAGCCCTAACTCACATATTATCAGTTGAACAATTCCTGTAGAAAGAGAGAAGGCTTTTCCTCTTGACTCTGGCCAAAAGCTCCTGGGAAGTCCTGTGACTTAAGTCACATTTCTCAACCAATCACCTGACCAGTGAGTGAGTGGGTTGCTGAGTGTTCTGTAAGGTACCAAATATAAAGCATGAAAGAACCTTTGCCCTCCCTGGCCCTGTGCTCTACCAAAGTCAGCAGGGTCAGTGAAATTTCCCAAGAGGAACGGGGAAGCCCCGGATGGAGCTAGGGGCTGTGTGATAACATAGCTTCAGATTGGAGAAAACTGTCACGTGCCCCCCCCCCCCCCCCCCCCCGCTTCATTTCACGGCTAGACACACTTGAGTGCCTGCTGAATGATCAGTTTATTGAGAGGCTGTTCCCTTCTGTTCCCTCCACAGAGCAGACTCGGAGGTCAGAGGAGGCCCACAAAGCTGAACAGCCACAGGATGCAGAGGAGGAAAAAGATGATTCAAATGAAGAAGAAAACAAGGACAGCCTTGTAGATGAGGAAGAAGAGAAAGAAGACCTTGGTGATGAGGATGAAGCAGAGGAGGACGAGGAGGAGGACAGCCCGGCTGCTCGTGTGGACGAAGAGAGGAATGACGCCCAGGACCAAGGGCCCCTGGGAGAGGTCCAGGAGGGGGGAGAAGCTGAGCCTGGAGAAGACGTGCCCGAGCAGGCCAGCCCAGCCCACACAGAGGTGGCAGAAGATACCCTGAGGCAGCGCAGAAGTCAGCACGCCGACAAGGGCCCACAGGTCTAATGACAGTATTTCCGAGAATTCAGACCAGAGGAGTAGTCAGCTTCCTTCTGGTCTGCAGTGTAAATCAAATCATTATTTTTTTTCTGAATGAGCAAGCTTCTCTTAAAAAACAATCTCTAGTCATGTAGTCTCTGGCATGAAGCCTCATGTATGTTAATGAGAGTGTTTCAGACACGACAATCAGGAAACAGAAAAACAGGGTGTTAGCATCTGTTTGGGGACTTGGCATGGGCACACATTCATTAGCTTGAGGCTAGAGAGTTTTGACCAGAGAAAGCACCCCGCAGGCGCCATAAAACGCAAGCCAAGCCACACGACAACATCCGCACATCCGCACATCCGCACATCCGCAACACACAGAAGTCTTCTTGTGTTAAGTATTCATTTTTGTCAAACTTTAAGAGACATCAGCCACCACGGTACAGAGACACTTTTTCAGAGAGAGAAATTGAGAGGGCCCTGGTTATTGTGGTAGAAAAGAGCTTGGACGTCATCCCAACTCTCTAAATCTCCTTTGTTAGGATTTATTTCTTACCTTTAGTATTTCCAACTTTCCCACCACGGGCCTGCAGGCGCCCCACACTCTTCACAATACTTCCTCAGTGAGAGGCCTCCGCTACACATCAGCCGCCTTCGTTCTGACTGAAGGGTTTACATAATCCAGAACCAAAACCCACGGAGCTGTGACTGCCAAGGATCTTGAATGAAGTGTTGTAACCTTTGGAGATTCAAAAGGAAGTAGGGATTTTACAGGACAGATTGTTGTTGTTGTTGTTTGCCAAAATGTAGTAAATTTTTTTTTCAAAAGGATCCTTTAGCAATATTCTTTTTGAAGCCAGAAGTGCCCTAAGTGTTGCCAGTGCAAGGTTGTCTTGTGAAGAGAACTTGAATACTTTGTTGTTTTGCTTCCATCTCAAGGGGTTCTCTGGCTCTTGAACCACTTTAATATTAAGTGCAAAACCATTTCTGGTTTTCTTTCAGTGATGTGCTTTTGGTGAAAGAATTAATGAAAGTGAATATCTGGAAATGAAAGATTTGGTTTCCTTTCCTTCTTCCTTAATCTTGTAAAGAATTTTATCCCTGTAAATCTCTCAATACTCAGTCTACTAAAAGTACCCAGGGGGCCCAATTTCTTTTAGGGAATCCATCCATCTACTTCTGCCTTACCTGATTTATGTCTTCGAATAAATTCATAAAATTAGATTCCAAGCTTATGAAAGATGTCTGAAGTTGATCCTACACCCTTTGGGTCCTGCAGAAAAACAAGTAATACACGTTTATGAAATTCGAAAAGTTTCTGTCATTTTTATAAAGAAATATGCAGTATACTCCTGTCTGGCTGTTTTGATAACCCTTACCTTTTATTAACTTTGAACACAGGCTCCTTGGAGGAGGGGGAGGTGCTGAGATCCTCTACCCTTGAGTGGTTGGATGGGCCTGTTGCAAGCCTCACACAAGGGAGTTTTTATTCTGACAGAATCCAATTTTTAGAGATGGTTATTTCTCATCTTTCCAACTCAGTTACCTGACAGTCTCATCCCCCCGTACTGTGAGGTTCACGAGGAGTCGCCAATAGTTTTTCTCTTCAGACAGCAACAGCACCTTGAGTTTGAGGCCATCACAGAACTGACAGACTGGGAAAACCTTGACTTTGGCTCATTTCCTGTCCCTCCACCATGTACGTCTCTAACACATCCTCAGCCCAAGCACCATGGTTCTGATGGTGGCAACTCCCTCTCCCTGATCCTAGGAAGCTTTTGTGGATCATTGCTGAGTGGGGCCAGCCCTTCTGTCACTGGATTTCTTTCTCTTATAATCAGCTGAAACAATTTTCAAACATCAGTAAGTTTAAATTCAGAGGTATGGAATAAGAAAGGTTTCATAGTTTGGCTTTTCTGTATAATACCTCCCCCTTTTACGCTCCTTATATTAAAACTTTTTTTTTTTTTTTTTTTAAGTGGAGTGTTTGACCAGAAGGGAAGGAATGAAGAAATAAAATCCACTTTCACTTTTTATAAATGTAAGGCCAATTTCCAATTGGACCCCAAATAATACCTAATTATATAACAAGAGAAATGTATGTTCTTTCTCAACAATACTTTTAAAAAATTGGAGGAAGAGGGGAAACCAGTTTGGAGAAGAAGATTCATTGAGAGTTGAAGCCTCTGTGGCTATAGGAACCATTTTTTTTAACATCCTGGCAAAAGGTGGGGTTTTTATTAAATGGCCTGATAAGTACACATCTAATTTGATTTCTTTCCACTTGAGGCCTTTAGGTTTTCAGTATTTACTGAATATAAAACTAAGGGGAAAAAAGTCAGTCTAAAATAATTTGAAATTAGATTAACATTTCAGTAGGCTTTTATGGATTTTTTCTGGAGATAATCTATTTAATCCAGAAGTCAAATGTGTGGAAACATGATTTTGATTTAAAAAATAAAAAATAATCGGGCGCCTGGGTGGCTCAGTTGGTTGAGCGACTGCCTTCGGCTCAGGTCATGATCCTGGAGTCTCTGGATCGAGTCCCGCATCGGGCTCCCTGCTCGGCAGGGAGTCTGCTTCTCCCTCTGACCCTCCCCCCTCTCATGTACTCGCTCTCTCTCATTCTCTCTCTCTCAAATAAATAAATAAAATCTTTAAAAAAAAATAAATAAATAAATAAAAAATAAAAAATAATCATGCTTCCTATGTTGCAATATCAGTCATCTAATTACAGAATAGTATTTTCTGTAAATCAAAATTAGGAAAATTAAATAAAAGTGATGGTAGATTTGAGAATGGGGGTGCAGTGTGTTATATGGGAGTAGTTTCTCTGATGAGAGGGAAAGTCTGAAACTTCTAGCTACGTTTTTTTTAGTTTCTTTTATCATTCATCTCTTGCTAGATCTGCTCTACCACCCCAACTTGCTTAGAGATCTCCTACTGGAGCTACAGATAGGCAATCCCACTTTTTTCTCTTTGAAGTCTAAGCACAGAATGGGGTGACAGGCAGGACTCATTCACTTCACAGGTCCCTGAACCTCATGGGTGCATACTTACAACCTCTTCTGGTGTGTGAGCCCTGTTAGCCACAGGCTTCTTTAACTACAAAAAGAAATCCAAAATAACGACTGTAATGAAAAGTAAACAAGCGTTAGCCGGGTTGGCTTTTGACAGTGGAGAAGGCCAAATTTTGACTTTTTTTATGGCCAAAATCCTTGTTGATAACCATGGCATTGCTATGTGATTTGAGGATATGTAAGCCTGCAGAACTGGCATTCTGTAACACCTTTGGGGGAAGGATGATAAAAACATCTTCTAGCTGAGCACTTAGCCTTTATAACTTTTACAACCAAGTCTTTAAGAGTGGAGCTTGTATGCTGCTTTCCAGGATGGCAAACATTAAAGAGTCCCCCCCCCCCCAAAAAAAAAAAAAGGATAGAAACAATAGGGTCCACCTAAGATTTCAGTATAAAATGTTCAATTGACATGAAGTGAGAGAAAGAAGGGAAAGATTGGTGCTTTTGCTAATGTGTATCAACTTATCTCTGTCCAGCTCAGTATTGAAGTGTTATTTCTACCAGTATTATAAATTTGTGACAGACCCATCCCGTCGAATATAGTGTTTTGAAAAGTATTCATGTGAATCTTTTGTGCCAACAGAAAAGTTCCTTCTTGTTCAGTATCTTTACCTTAGTCCTACGTTTTGATCCTCTTCAGAAGATCAGTTTCTCTTGAAAAACCAAATGATGAACCTTGGTGGGGCAGCTTTTTGAGAAGCTTTTCTGAACCAGGAGATTTAGTTAGAAGGCCTTTGGTGGTTTCAGACATGGCCTTCAGATGGCTTCTTCTCGGTCAAGTTTCATGGGAACTGCACCCCTGTATATGTGTGACTCAGATAATTTTCACGTTTCTGATGTAGTTTCATGTATTTGTTACTAAATAGCTTCTTTGTGCAAATGCAGTTTTTATGCTAAAAATACTGTTTATTTGTATTGTAATACATTATAAATTTGTTAATTTATATTTTTTGTAATAGTCTTAATTATTTAGCTCAGTGATATTTAATTATTTTTCTCTTCATCCATGTGTTCTCTCCTTCCTCAGATAGCATCTGCAGCATCTGGAATGGGGAATCAAGATATGAGTCTCAAGCGTCACAAAATTGTATATAATCTTTGATCATATGTTTTTATTTTATTGTAAACTTCTATTTGCATCCAAACCTAATGATAGTGCTAAGTAAAATCAAAATAGTGTATTGCTTTTCATAGAAGCATTTTCACAAAAGTCATTTGCCTAGGCAGTGAAAAGTACTGCTTTGTTAAAAAAATAATTTTCCTGTGCCCATCCTCTATCCAATCTGTTTGCTCCCCCGTCTTTCTTTCTTTTTCTTCCTTTTCTTCCTTCCTTCTTTCTTTCTTTCTTTTTCTTCTTAATTTCTTTCTTTCTTTCTTTCTTTCTTTCTTTCTTTCTTTCTTTCTTTCTTTCTTTTCTTCTTTTCTTTCTTTCTCTTTCTTTCCTTCCTTCCTTCCTTCCTTCCTTCCTTCCTTCCTTCCTTCCTTCCTTCCTTCCTTCCTTCCCCTTCCTTTCCCTTCCTGTCCCTCCCTGTCCCTCCCTCCCTCCCTCCCTTCCTCTCTTTCTTTCTTTCTTCTCTTTAACTTGGTGAAATGCAAATCATGTGCCTTTTAGCTACTCTGGAAGGTGCATCAAAGCAAGAACAAGTGCAAAGATCCAAGACTTCCTCTTTGTTATAGTCATTGTGTTGCCTATAGAAACTCATTTCACTCACTTCTCAGGTTTCCCTTGGTCCTGAGGTCTGGAGGTGGTCAGGGCTGGTGCAGATGGCAAAGGATGCTGCTAATCCTTCAAGACATCATGGACTGATCTGGTCTCCTAGGGCATTCAGAATACTCTGGTCTACACCTAATTCTTCCTATCACTGTAGCATTGGAAAGATACAAAGGAGATGAGGTGACTCTCTTAAACCCCCTAAGGGACTGAACCATGAATATTGGATATTTCACTTTGAAAAGATGGTAGAAGGAAATGTAGTAAGAAGAAAATGATTAAACTTCCATACCACCAAGTCATTCCCTCAGAGAAACTGGCTCAGTAGGCTCATTTGCCTATATAGAAAAGAATATGCATTATGCAGTGTCTCAGCCTATGTGAACTTGGTCATGCATCTTTGGTGGGAGCAAAACTTGCAGCTTTTGAAGTCAAAAACACTGAATTGCAAAATGCAATCCCCTGCTTTGTCCCAATCTTGAAGACTCTGGAACATATTCCAAAATAATAGGAATTCTTTCATGTTCTAAGAAAGAACATGCAAATTTCTCAAGATTGATAACTGTATTAGGTAGTCTAGGCTATGTTAACAGACTCCCAAACCTCAGAGGCTTTAAGAACAAGAATTTCTGCTTCGCTTAGGTCAGGTTAGCCATCCCAGATAACAGTAGCTCTACTTCATGCGGGTTTTTCTGGGACCCAAGTGAAGAAAGGTTTTGCTGCCTAACATGGTGGCTTTGAAGGTGGCTATGGCCATTTTCATCCCACCAGTCTGAAGGGAAAAGAATATGGAAGAGTGTTTCTGGGAGATTTTAAAGCCAGGCTGCAAAGAGGCACAGACGCGCGTTTCTTCTTTTCTCATTCCTACGAGAGGACCTAGTCACGGGGTCACGCCTAACCAAAAGGGAGGCTCAGATATGTCATCTTGCCATGTGCTGAAGAACAAAGTGAGATTAGAGAGCTGGCCTCTCTGCCACAGGCACTTTATTCTACCTATGTGTCTCACAAAGAGTAAGCACCCGAGAAATGTTAGTCATGTGAACGTGCAGGTGGCAGGAGAGGGAGGAATGCACATGGCTTCGTGCTGCTTGGCTTCCTTCTGGACTTTGCTATATTTGATCTTCAAGATACCAGGCTTTTCAAACGATGAGTGGGGTGTTCTCAGAGAGTTTATACTTTATTTGGGAAGATGGACATAAATAAGTGGGATAAGAATTACAAAGGGAAAAGTTAAGAGATGCTATATAAGTTTATAAAAATGGAACCTGATCTAGGTGAGAGTTTAAGTGGTACACGGAACCAGGAAGCATGATGAGGGGTTGCTGAGGCAGAGATGGATTTGAGACCCCTCTGGGATATGCACACAGTGCTTAAGCTGCACATGTAGAAAAATAGAACCAGCATTTATCTCAATGGGAGGTTCTTTGCTGAGCCATTGAGATGGATTCTGGGTCTCAGTTTTCCTTTTGTATGAGGGAGTGATAGAGAAACAGTTTCTTACTCATCTTTGCATGAACTGTTTCTCCCATTTTGATATCTTTAATATCCAATCAGTAATTTATAAACTCCATAAATCTCCCTGAATGGGATTCTAGTTAATAGACATCGGCTTAATCATGTTAACCTAAAAATTATACTTTAGAAAATTGATACTATTAAAATTCTTTGTGTTCTGTTGTTACTGGTGGGGCATGTAATTCCTAAAATTACTTCTTAATAGTTACTCTGGTAGAATACTTAGGATAGACCCAGAACACATTTGTGTTCCAAAGGGATAACCTGCAAGACTCACAAAATTACAGTTGTCACTCTATGGGATTGGGTTCAAATTCTAGCTCTCTGTGTAATCAATTCTAAGCATGAGTCTCAATTCAATAAATAGCATTAAAAACCCATTAAAATGGGTTGGCTATTAACTTTTAATTAGTTTACTAATAGCAAATTTTGTAGAGAGTATTCTAAAACTTTTCAAATCCTTGACACTCCATAGATGGGAACCAGCTGTGGGCAAAGTCATGTGATTATAGTGTGGCATCAAGTCATGTGGCCTTCCTACAGAGCCTTTGTTCTATTGACACTGAAAAAGTAAAAATTACCTCCTAACGGAAAATTGTCCTATTATTATTTTTTTAATTTTATTGTGTTATGTTAGTCACCATACAATACATCATTAGTTTTTGATGTGGTGATCCACGATCCATTGTTTTCGTATAACACCCAGTGCTCCATGCAGTACGTGCCCTCCTTAATACCCATCACCTTGCTAACCAATTCCCCCTCCCCCCTCCCCTCTAAAACCCTGTTTGTTTCTCAGAGTCCATAGTCTCTCGTGGTTCATGTCTCCCGCCAATTCCGCCCCCCCCTCATTTTTCCCTTCCTTCTCCTAGTGTCCTCCATGCTATTCCTTATGTTGCACAAATAAGTGAAACCATATGATAATTGACTTTCTCTGCTTGACTTATTTCACTTAGCATAATCTCCTCCAGTCCCATCCATGTTGATGTAAAAGTTGGGTATTCATCCTTTCTGATAGCTGAGTAACATTCCATTGTATATATGGACCACATCTTCTTTATCCATTCATCTGCTGAAGGGCATCTTGGCTCTTTCCACAGTTTGGCTATTGCGGACATTGCTGCTATGAACGTTGGGGTGCATATGGCCCTTCTTTTCACTACATCTGTGTCTTTGGGGTAAATACCCAGGAGTGCAATTGCTGGGTCATAGGGTAGCTCTATTTTTAAATTTTTGAGGAACCTCCACACTGTTTTCCAAAGTGGCTGTACCAACTTGCATTCCCACCAACAGTGTAAGAGGGTTCCCCTTTCTCCACAACCTCTCCAACATTTGTTGTTTCTCTCCCTGTCCATTTTTGCCATTCTAACTGGTGTAAGGTGGTACCTCAATGTGGTTTTGATTTGGATTTCCCTGATGGCTAATGATGATGAACATTTTTTCATGTGTCTGTTAGCCATTTGTATGTCTTCTTCAGAGAAGTGTCTGTTCATCTCTTCTGCCCACTTTTTGACTTGATTATTTGTTTTTTGGGTGTTGAGTTTGAGAAGTTCTTTATAGATCTTGCATACCAGCCCTTTATCTGTAGTGTCATTTGCAAATATCTTCTCCCATTCTGTGGGTTGCCTCTTTGTTTTGTTGACTGTTTCCTTTGCTGTGCAGAAGCTTTTTATCTTGATGAAGTCCCAAAAGTTCATTTTTGCTTTTGTTTCACTAGCTTTTGGAGATGTATCTTGAAAGAAGTTGCTGTGGGCGATGTCAAAGAGGTTACTGCCTATGTTCTACTCTAGGATTTTGATGGATTCCTGTCTCACATTGAGGTCTTTCATCCACTTTGAGTTTATCTTTGTGAATGGTGTTAGAGAATGGTCGAGTTTCATTCTTCTGCATGTGGCTGTCCAATTTTCCCAGCACCATTTATTGAAGAGACTGTCTTTTTTCCATTGCATGTTTTTTCCTGCTTTGTCGAAGATTATTTGACCATAGAGTTGAGGGTCCATATATGGGTTCTCTATTCTGTTCCATTGGTCTATATGTCTGTTTTTGTGCCAGTACCATGCTGTCTTGGTAATCACAGCTTTGTAATATAGCTTGAAATAGGGCAACGTGATGCCCCCAGCTTTGTTTTTC